GTATATATATGTATATGTACACCTGTATGCATTATTGTATATATATATATATATATATATGTAGCCTAGGTGCTGATGTTCAACCAGTAGGTGTAGATATACGTGTATATATATGTATATATTTATACTGGCGAAGGAATAGTTAGATGAGATTTGCGTGCGTGTTTTGTATTTCACTGTGTTGGGTTTAGGCGCAGCTGGAGGGCGAAGGGGGTGAAGCAGCAGGAGAGGGAGAAGAAACAACAGAAAGTCTTTCTGTTGCTGAGGGAGAAGAAGAAGAATATACAGGCAGCGAATTGTCTGCAGAGTGGGAGAGTGAAATAGAAAGAGAAGAACAAGAAGAAGAAGAAAAAGAAAGGGAAATTAAATATGAAGGATAAAGCAAGAAAAAGAGAAAGAAAAAGAAAGATGAAGAAAAAGAAGGAAAAGGGAAAGAAAGAAGAATAGAAAGAAAAAGAAGAACACTAAGAAGAAGAATAAACTGAAAAAGAATTAAAAGAAGAAGAATTAAAGAAAGAAGAAGGAGACCCTAAAAGAAGCACCTTAATATGCATGCATAATTAACTGCCTTCTATGAACAAAGAACAGCAATGCATATATTATTATTCTTCTTCGTCCTTTGCTTATTAGCAAACGACTATATACTTATATAATATATGTACATATATATATTATGTATACATACATAATATATATGTTGCATATACATACATATACCCTAAACAACAGAAGACGGGGGGCAGGCAACGCGTACACAACTCTTAGCCGCATATATATACATACACATATATATTATATATATGTATATGTATTATATGTATGTATATATTTATATATACATATGCATATTTGTATATATTTTATATACAATAGAATATTATAGGTTGAAAGAGATTATTTGGAGGCGGGTTTATTTAGGGTTGTTTGTGGTGGTGTGTTTTTCTTTCTGTTTGAGGGATTCTTCGCAAATATCTTTTTGCTTCATAAAGACGAATAGAGTAAATAAATTAAATGAGTATAATCCATAAATAGCAATTAGGTTAGCTGCTGCTCTTTATTTTCTTTCTTTTCGTGCATTTCACTCGCATGCAGCAACATGTTGCTAGAGAGGGAAATGCTAATACAGTTTGCTAACGAAAATAACTTTTATTTGGTTGTTTCAAACATACAACCGACAGACAGAGCTGTGCTAACAGCCGGTCTCTGTTGTATTAGCGACAGTTTCTCTTTATTATTCTCTTCCGCGGGGTCTCCCTTCTTCTTTTCATCCGCTCCTCTGAAGCAAGGAAACCCTTTTTTGCAAGAAGTTGGATAAGCCCCATATGCATGCATGCATGCATTTACGTGTTTCTTAATTGAGCAAGCATTCTTTCATATAACAAGCGTTACGGAAGTTTAGTTTGAAAAAGAAAAAGGAACAAATGGGTGGTCCTGGCTTGCTTGCCTATTTAGGCATGCCTATTTAGCCGCAGCTTCCACCGCTTTTTCTTCTAGGGTTTAGGGTTTAGGGTTTAGTGTTTTTACACTGAGGCCAGCGGTAGGCAGTGCACGAGGAAGAATCTCCTGCTGAAGAGTCAAACAAAGGGGGAGAAAACTACAAAAAGTCATTTGTTCGTTCACTGCATGCAAACGCTTACAAATGCGAGCAGTGTGTGCAATAATACAAAACGCCGCCTTCGAAACCCTAAGAATAAGAATAATAAAATATTTGGGGTCTTTCTTGCTTTATAAGCGTTTAGAAAGCCCTTCGCTGCCACTACTTTTTCATGTTTTTCTTTGGTTTTTCCTCAAGTGCTACTAGCCTGTCCTTAGAGGAACGGGCAGACTAACGACTCAGATGAATATCACCTTGTGGTGCTTGTGTTTTGCAACGAAGACGGCGGCCTGGCTTAGCAGAGAAGGACCGAGCCCTTGCCCCACGACTGCCCTCCCCTAAAGCCCTCAGTCGGCGCCCTGCTCTTCGATGACTTCGCTCTAGAGGAGGTGAAACAGACAGAGAGCGCGTTCGAGAAGAAGAATGAGAAGAAGAACGAACAGCAATAGGAGAAGAAGGAGGCTCCAGAAATTGACCTGAACTTGTTGCTGCTTGCACCTGTGGCTCTGCCAGGCGCATGCAACTGCATGCTGGAGGGGTTTGCATGCAGCTGCTCTCTGATAATGTCTGTGTGCAACTGTATGCAGGAGGGTGCGTGCAGCTGCATCCTGGGGCTTGTAAGCGGCCCCAACAATGGGGCTGTCTCTGGCGGCTCCTTGAAATCGGCTTTCCGTCAACTCCGATAGCCTGAGTTGAGGGGGTGGTCGAGATGTAGGGGCTCTCCTCCATTGTTAGAGTTGCAAGTTTTGCAGAGAGGGATGCGCACGGGTCGAGAGATTCCGGCGTGAATATTTGACTTCCCCCCATTGGGTTTTCCATGATGGAAATGATCTGAAGCCTTTGTTTCTGCGGTGCGGTGCGGTGTGCGAGAGCAATGTTTCAGAGCAATGTTTCAAGAGGTGCGTGTACACCTCGCGTGATCGCCGAAGTCTAGACAGAAATCCCAGCTTCTAGAACGCTGGATTGAAGAGAAAAGGACGTCCAGCTCATAATGATCCAAGGAAGACTGCATGCAACAGCGTCATGGGTTTGCCTCCAGTTTCGATGTCGCTTGCTCCTTGAAAAAGGAATTGTGATTTCAGCACTTCAACGTCATTTCCAACCGAATGACGCTCGTCTTGAAGGTTTAAATGACATAGTAAACACCTTCTAGAGGCTTTGAACATTTAAAAGCCTCTATATTCCCTCACACGCACAACCCCCGGCTCGCGCCTCTCTCGATGGCCGGACAACGGAGGAAACGAGAGCTCCGCAGCAAAACTTGCAGTTCTGAAGGGAAGATTGTGCAGTTTTTGACTTTTAATTTCATGAAAACTGTCCTTAATGAAATATACTTGGCAATAAAACAAAGAAAAGTAGAAAAACTCAACCTACCGAACGGACTGGTCCACCCAATCGGCATGCAGAAACCTCTCATCATCGCATGCATTCATCTGGTGAAAGTTGCTGAACAACGAATATATTAGGTTTCTAAGCCTAATTAAAGTAAATATTTTCATCAATTTCCTTGCTAGTGTGCATTTGCACCCGTGGATTATCTTGGAACATTTAAAACCAGCATCGATCGTTGCAGCCACTATAGTCTAATTTTCAGATGGATGTTGCAGAGTATTCGGCTAACATCACCTTAAGAAGGCCTCATATGCAAATTTTGAATGAAAATATGATGCATGTAATCATTTTTAATAGAGAAATACAAGTTAATTGATGCCTCAGTGTCGCTCGTTTCTGTGTAGTGTCACTCGCATGCCTGGTTTCATGAAAGTACGCCAGTTTCAGAACAGTTCCTGTACAACTTATTCGAGAAGATCCAGTGAATAAAGCAAAGGCAGCGTCTTGGTGTGATTGCTTGGTAAAGGATTTTGAACTCTTTTTTCTCCTTGTTGCCTCTCCAGTTGTATTGTGAATCGGCTCAGTTCATGAATGGCTATGGACAAAATAATATCAAACTCACGGTCGCACGAAAGTGATATTCTCAACAACAATATCTGTGTCATTTATGCTTTCAAATTTAGCTAGAGGCCCCTTAGAAGGCGAAACGTTTCTCTTACAGGTAACAGACACAACAACAAGCGATGCAGCTGCCTTTATTCGTCTCCCTGTTCCTATTCATGTTTCCTTGAATTTGATTAAGAGGTTCATTTGTTACAGAAACACGCAAAATAGCATATATATATCACTGCACATTCTTTTTAGTTCGCGTAAGTTGAATCCACTTTAATCGCTTGGCTCAAACTAAAAAGGAAATAAAAGTATCCCCACATCGTCTGCCCCCTGTTGAGTTTTCTGCATTATTCTTCTTCTTCTCCGTACTTCTCTTTTGCATGATTTCATATTGAGGTGACGGTTGCTGCCCGTATTAAAAACAATTGTTGCGTTCTTACAGTCTTTTATTTATATTTACCCTCTTTAAATTCATTACCAGCCTCTTGAAGATTATTCACAGCCACCTTTTTTGTACATTTCTGCAGCGTACAGACATTGGAGCATCAGCTGCTGAAAGAGGAATTTTTTCTTCATTTCGATATTCTGAATGCCCGCTTGAAGGAAGCTGGTTGAAATGCATCTGTAAATGTTGTACATACTATAAACGCAAAACCCTATTTCACTTAAACACCGTTTAAACCTGCTGCTGTAGAAGTCAACGTTCTGCATATTTGTCTGCACTATGAAATGCCTGATAGGGTGTTAATCTTTTCGAGAGGCCGTATGTATGCTAAACAAGGAAGAAACAAGAAAAGCAGCGGAGAGGGCAATCAATAGTGAAGAATAAGCTGAGTAAGGGCAGAGATAAACTAATTCTGATTTTCTATTCCTCTCTGTAGTGGGCAACGAGTGGATATGAATAAGCAATGCCAAGGCCTCAAAAATATTGTATGAGGCCCAATGCATACACAGCTCTTGTAGAGGAACTCAGCGCTATGTTCGACCATCAGTCATTATAAAGCAAAGTCAACAAAAACATACTTCATGATATGAAGGAAATATCGTGAAATTGAACAGCCAATGGCCTAGAAGTACACAACGGTATTACGTTAAAATAAATAATAAAATTATATCATTTTCCACAAAACAACAACTACATTGTTATAACATTATTATCAATTGGTAATTTTATTCTTAGGTATTCTGCCGTTTGGTTTGCATCAGACATCTTAGCACTGCTTTGAGCATCTTATTGACAAATGCATTCAGAAAAAGCTCGAAAGACAAAAAACGTAGAAAAGAGTTGTTGTTGCGGTAGGTGTTCCCGCATTGACTGTACACAGTAGACAACTCAGCCTTTCACTTCTCCAGCAAAAAATAAACCTTATTGTTAGATCTAGACGATTTGCTGCAAAATATTTTCGTGCAGAGGCTTCCGTTGCCTTCTTTATGCGTAAACCTCGAACCTGCATTGTACGGAGATGTAGGCATACGAACAACTGTGTCATACTCAGGCCTAGTATTGAGGATGATCTGGGGTTCAAATTAAAATATAATTCTTGATGAATTCAAAGAAGAAACTATTTTGTCGTTTCACGTTGGTATTGGTACGAACCCGGAGGTGCTTCAGCTGCAGAATCGGCAGAAGGCAGCGATTGTCGAACAGCTGAGGCACGACTCCGTTCTTTTCAGAGGAACTGGCGAGGCTTAGGTAAAAATCCCTCTCAAAGATTTCAAAAGAAGTGTATAAATAAAGAGAGCTTTGAATAAAGAAGAAGGCAAGCTGAATATCATCACGTTCCTGCACGGTACACACCGTCGAGGCTCTGCCTGCGCCCACCTACATACACCGGTCGTCGTTGAGGAGGGCTGACACAGGCTTCTTGATCGATCTTCTTCGGCAGTTTATCTATTCAAATTACAAAACATATTAATTTGCATTTCATTATAATCATCTCTTGGGATATTGGAGTCTAGGAAACATCAGGTGAGGAAACACAGCCAGACCGCTGCCGACTGACTGCTGCTCGGGTATATGCGAAGCATCGATGTTGGCTTCCTAATTTCAGCATTTTGGCCTTATATGCTCATTTAAAATAGAACTATTCGATTTGTTGCTTAAATGGATTGCGTTTCCTCTCAAAGATCGAACCTGTGCACCCCTTCCAGCCATCGTTTCACACCAGATAGCTGCGCTGACTGCCTCATCTGTGCGCCTCGTTGTTCGTGTTTCTTCCCTCAGGAAAGGTTCAGATCATATCATTTCTAAGAGTCTACTGAGAAGTCCGTCACCATGCAGACTGTGACTGACAGCTCTGTAGTGCCGATCGGGCGTATGCCCATAGACAATGCGTTCAACGGCCATCCTCGCCGGCGTGCGCAGCAAGGAGGAACGAAGTTGAATGTGAGAGAACAAAGAAAAAAGCCTTCAATCAAAGACTTCCTAGGGGTTACTCCACTTGACTTATTAAAGAAAGCCGTCAGCCAAGAAGAACCTCCTGCCCCAATAAAGCTGTTTCAGAAGCTGATTGGTGGTTCTACTGCTGCGGAGCCGCAGCAACAGAGCAGCGGCAGCAATAGAAGCAACTCCTCCCAAGCGTATTCCGATGTGCAATCATATGAAACACCCGAAAAGACACAGCGAGATCAGCAGGAAGGCACGGTGCTGCTGCAGGAGGCAGCAGCACCGTTGCACCAGCAGCAGCAAATGCAGCAGCAAATGCAGCAAATGGACACCAGGACCAACCTAGAGAAGTATCTCGCCTCGAAGATGCTCGAATCCAGAGGCCACATGCAATTCCCCTCCTGGAATGGGGCTCCTCATCTGCTGCATCAGCAGCAACAGCTGCAGCTGCAGCAGCAGCAGCAAGACTTCTGCTTCCCTCCGCATGCAGTGATGAATCAACTCCCTTACTCCTCCCCACAACTCACCAGCCGCGGCCCTCTCCCTCAGTTTACTGCGGACAGCTATGTACAGAACCAAGGGTTTGTGCAGCAGCAGCAATTCACATGCACGCAGCCGTACAACTACGTGGGCCCCACACCCGCAGCAGCAGCAGCAGCAGGTGCTGCAGCAGCAGGATATCAGCAGCACGGGATGTTCCCACAATATCCACAGCAAGAGACACCTCAGATGCTTCAGCAGCAAGGCGTATACCCTTCATATGATCAGCAGCAAGAGCTACGCGCTGAGTCTTCTACAGTTTCTATTTCTTCTCATTCAACTTCAGCAAACTATCCTTACACCTCATTAGAAGGTTTAGAAGCAGATTCTTCTGCTGCATGGCTGCAGCATAAATCTTATTTACCTCAAATACCGCCGCATGCACACATGACTGCTCCTGTTGCAGGGGCCCCGTTTCACCCTGGGTTTAGCTATGCAACAGAATTTAAATATTATTATAATTATTATCCTGCTGAAGAATATACAGGGGAGATAGACGGAGGTGATGCTGAAGCACAAGAAGCAGCGGTACAGAGAGATCAGCAACAAGCAGAAACTCTCGCAGCAGCACAACAAGAAAAAGAAGAAAAAGACGAAGAAAATAACAAAACAGATAACAGCAAAACACTCAAACCAATCATCACCTCTAAAACTAGACTAGAGTCAGGCAAAGCCGTCCGCATCTAAATATATATATATATATATATTATATTAATTATATATATATATAATATATATATATATATATATTGTATATACTTGAATATTATGTTTCATATATGTATACTACTTATTATATGTATGTGTCTATATAATATTATGTACAGATGTATACACCTGGATCATATTAAATATGCATATATATATA